CACCCGACTAGGAACATAGTCCAGAGAACCTTGCCACTCGATCATAGGTAACCCAGGCATCGCAAACGTCACGGTCTTAGCGTGATAATTCATAGTAGCATGACATGGGGACAACCAATCCATGCAAAGAATCACGTCAAAATCAACCATACTGAGAAATAAGAGATCAACTCTCGTCTTCAATCCCCCAATGGTCACCACACACGACCAATACACACGGTCCACAATAATAGAATCGCCCACTGCATAGATACATGAACAGGTGAAACTAAGGACTCACGGGTCATATCAATATAACGAGCAAAATACGGTGATACATAGGAATAAGTGGAACTAGGGTCAAATATATAGAAGCAACTATGTGGCACACTGAAAAATACATGTGATCACTGTGTCCGAAGCAACGGCCTCTGTCCTGGCGGGAAAAGCATAGCATCAAGCCTGACCGCCACCTGATCGACTCCCCTCCCCCCACTAGGGCGACCTCTAATTTCCTGAGCCCCACCCCGAGCTGGATGAGCGGGTGGTGAAGTAACTGGTGCATAAGTCATAGCCTGACCCCTCTACTGAATTGGACCTCCTAACTGACGGCGACAATGCCTCGACACATGTCCAAACTTCCCTCACTCGAATCAACTCTGATCCATCAATGGCAGCGAGGACTAAATCGGACCCCGAGAACCAAAATAACTAATAGAAGAACATGGTACCGATGAACCCTGAACTGATGGAGCATGGGATAAACTCTAAGCTGGAAGGGCATAGAGAGATGACTGAACAAGACAAGCACTGTATGAACCATGGCTAGTTGATGCACCACGATGAACCGGAGAAGCCATCTAAGCGGGCCTATAAGGATGACCCTTACTTTGGTGGGACTATCCTCCAAATGAGGCAGCGCTGAAACTACCCAAACCACGAGGCCTCTTAGCCTCCCTCTCATCTTGTTCCTAACTAGGAACCTGCTCTAGACTCCTAGCAATATCAACCACCTCATCAAACCTAGCATCTAATGCAATCTCCTAAGTCATGACGAAGAGCAATCCATAGTTAAGGCCATTAATGAACCTCCTGATCCTCTTCCTCACTATGGGAACCATCCAGATTGCGTGACGAGCCAACTCTAAAAATCGCATCTCATTCTGCGTCACTAACATACCCTCCTGACGTAGCTTCTCAAACTACCTATGCAACTCCTCCAAGCGGGTCTATGGAACAAATTTCTCTAAGAAGAGAACTAATAACTCATGCCACATAAGTCGTGCAGCACCGGATAGCCTACTCAACTCATAGGCCTCCCACTATCTGAAGGCTGCCCCCAATAGCTGAAAAGTAATAAATGAGACTCCAGTAGTCTCCAAGATACCCGCCATGTGAAGGATCTGCTGCCACCTATCTAAAAAATCCTGAGCATCCTCTGACTCAGCCCCACTAAATGCCAGAGGCCTAAGCCTCCCAAACTGCTCTAGCCTCTTCTACTCCTTATCACTCATAGGTGGACCAACCTGGGCTTGAGCAGCTGCAACTGGCTGGGCTGGTAGTACCCCCAGTGTCTGAAGTCCCTGAACCACCTGTTCTGGAGTACGAGCGGCGGGTGTATGGCCACATCCCCCTCCCTGAACTGAAACCGCCAGCGTAAGGCTAGTACATATAGTCAATATCTAGGCCAAAGCCTCCTGAAGGCCTGGAATCATAATGGGCACAGCTGGTGTCTGAAATCGTCACACCAGCTCAACCACAACTGGTATATGCTCCTAAGCTGGAGAAACTAGTGGCTTCACATATATTGCTCTCGCTGCAGTACGAGCTGCACCCCATGCTCTACCGTGGCCCCAGACTCTCGCGGCCCTAGCTAGTGGTACTGGTATCCGTCCGAACAATCCGGTTGCAGGTGTCCTCACCATCTGTGAGAGAATAGAATAATAGAATTTTAATTTTCGGAATCAACAAATTCGCACGACAAGAATACAAGAGAGTAAAGTTTCCTAATTGTTTGGTAGCCTCTTAAAGATAAGTACAAACATCTCCGTACCGATCCCAAAGACTCTACTAAACATGCTCATGACTCGTGAGACCTAAGTAACCTGGTGCTATGACACCAACTTGTCACGACCCGAATCTAAACATGTTGTGATAACCCCTATCACATGACTAGGATAGCTGACAATCACAAAATAACTACGCATTTCAAATTAAGAACATGATTTAATAAGTTCAATAATGAAATTCTCATAAAAAACTGATAAGAAAAACTGCGACTCAACTATAACAATCGCTAAAATCCGGTTATCACCGAGTACATGATCTACTAAGTGTCACCACATTCCACATCTCTAATACAACTGTCTGAAAAATAGAACAGTACAGAATAAAACTGAAAGGAAGGTGAGTCAAGGTCTGCGGGCGTCATAGCAGCTACCTCAATAATCTCCAAGCAGATACTACACCAAATCTAGCAACAGCCGCGTCCAGATATACCTGGATCTGCACATGAAGTGCAAAGTGTAGTATGAGTACAAGCGACTCAATGTACTCAATAAGTAACAGGGATAACCTTGGGCTGAAAGTAGTGGCGAGCTCGGAGAGATACAGTCCGAATCAATAATAACAACACATATATATCAAGATAATGATAGTAATAATTGAGATGACTTCCATATTCAGCCCGTATACAGTGCAAGAATTTGGGTATGCTATCAAGTTCAACAATTTAAGCTCAACACTTACAAATATGGCAAGTACAACTAGCATAAGGAATGTCACATCTCTACGCCTACATGTCAAATTAGCATGTCAAATGTAATGCATTACAATGATAAACCCATGTACTCACACTCTTGAAATACTCAATTTCACTGTCTCACACTCCCACTCATCACTCTTAATCACTCATAACGCTCTATCACTCAGTACTGTACGGTACCTGTGCTCATTACCGGTATGTCAGACTCCGGAGGGGCGGATCCTGCCCAAACACTAATAAAAGCCAAGATGGCATACTGCAACGTGTATCTCGATCCCATAATGAATCCATAAATCCTGTTGTGGCATGCAGCACGATCCTACAAATATCACTCACGATCCGGTCCTCAGGCCCTAACTCGGTCAACAAACTATCCAGTCTCTCGGGTTCACAAATCTCAAGCCAATCAGCCCAAACAATGATAACATGATGTAATAACGAAGTATAATGGAGACTGATATATGATATGCAAATGATGAATGTGACCGAGTAAAGCAAATAACTCAACAAAAGAAATAACCTCAGTGGGTCCCAATAGAATAAGCATATAGCCTAGACATGATTTGTAATATGGATCGCAACTCAATTACTCTAACACGTAGGGATAACAACAAGATTTGATAATTACATAGTACCACGAAATCAACCGAGTCATAATTACCACGGTACACACCCACACGCCCGTCACCTAGCATGTGCGTCACCTCATCACAAACCACATGACACGTATTTTAGGAATTCATACCCTCAGTACCAAGTTTAGAAGTGTTAATTACCATAAAGTGCGCAACTCAATGCTCCAAAAAACCCTTGCCTCACGAATCGTCCTCTGAACGACTCGAACCTAGTCACAAACAACTTAATATAATCAATACAAGCTATAGGAATCGATTCTATATGATAAAGCTAAGTTCCTTAACCAAATTCAAAAAGTCAACCCCGACCACAAATTTCACCTCAGAACCTGACAATATTCACAAAATCCGAACACACATTCAATAAAGAGTCAATCATACCAAAATCATCCAATTCCGACCACAAATCGACCCTCAAACCCCTAAATCTTACTCTCCAAACCCTAGTCCAAATTTCACCTTAAAAACACATAATATAGGGGTAGAAATCAATGGGTACTTAATATTATTGGACAAAAGTGATCAAAAATGGCTTACCTCTTGATTTGTAGTGAAATCCTTCTAAAAAATCGCCCCTACCTGAGCTCCCCAAGTCCAAATATGAGATAATACACTAACCCTCATTTTTTAATTAAATAGTCTGCCCAGGTGTTCCCCTTCAAGATCGCGGAAATTCCCTTGTTATCACGAAGAACAAAGCTTATTACCCTCAATAAATGGTGTACGAGAATGCATACACCCAACCACTAAAACGATGCTCAGCAGCTCAAACCTACGCGATCGCAGACTTGGACTCGCGATTGTGAAGAACAAATGTGTGAACTTCCCAGACCTCCCCTTCCTCCTTTGCGGACGCGTCCCATCATCCACGTTCGTTATGCAAAACTAACCAATGATCCGTGATCGCATAGGAAAGCTCTCGAACGTGTTGAATAAAAATCCTCCTGCCAGAAATAACCCTACGCAATCGCGACCCCCTTCACGCGATCGCGTAAGAGAAAACTAGGGCCCCCGGGATGCCATCCAAACATAGCAACACATCCTAAAACATTATAAGATCTTAGTCGAAGCCTTAAGTAACAACAAACAACATCAAAAACGCGAATCGCACACTAATTCAAGCCTAATGAACTATTGAGCTCCTAACTTCTAAACTCAATGCCGAAACACAACAAATCAACTCCGATTGACCTAAAATTTTGCACACAAGTAATAAATGACACAACAGACCTATTTCAGCTTTCAAAACCAAAATCTGAACTCGGTAACAATAAAGTAAACTCTGGATCAAACTTCTCAACTTTTCAAAGCCAATTCAAGCCAAAACGACCTACGGGCCTCCAATTAAATATAACACCTCGTATATTCGGACTAGGTCTGGATATGTTAAATGGGTATTAATATGATATTTTAGACATATGAAGCCCTAGCGGGATGAGTATGGGTGTAAATAGTTGTTTTAGAATCAAGATGGAGAATGAGGTGCATAAGATTCGATAAAATCTACAAAGTTTACAAAAGGTCAGTTTTACAGAAGGTTTAATAAAAATCTTTTATGGTATTTGGGAAAACTCAAACCACGAAAGTTATAGGCCTTTGAAATAGCTTTCCAACTATATATTATGGAGCCCGAACGGATCTTTATGCAAAATGTTATGCGTGTTTTACGGAAGAATGCGCAATATGCGTGCCCCGAGCAGGAAAGAGCTCGGGCAAAATGCCAAGGAGTCAGGAACGATTGTTATTATCAGGTATGTATTTTTCGTACGACTCATCTATACGACTAAGAAGACATTACGTACGAAATAAGAACCAAGAGCAGCCGATATTGAATTTCAGAGAATGATTTTAAGTTTTCATATGTATTCAAATCGGAACTAGAAGTACCACGTTAGTGAGTTGCTATATGAAGCAGCTATTATTGTGAGATAAATGATATGACAATTCCCTCTAAGTTATGTGACTAAGTGTTTACCCAGAATGTTTATAATCTGATATGATTTTGAAGTATATAGAAAGATAAGGGTTAGATATTCCAATTTTGTTTAAGACAGATGAAATTTCCCTAAGTGTGATCCATGTACAAAGTTGAAAAAAAATGATAGTGTGCGACAAAAAAAAAATATGGTCAGATGATGAGGGAAGTTAGTAGTAACCTTATGCTTCACTTTAGTTATACAAAAGGAGAAGAAAATATGATGCTAGCATGTGGTTAGTAAAAGGATAGTAAGTAAGTTTTGAGCAGATACAATAAATTAGCAATTTCAGTAGATTTAGTAGAGGTATAATTTGATTTACTTAGTAAAGTTAACACTAGTGAGTGGGTAACAGTTTGAAACACCGAACGCATGTTAGAACCCGAAGAGTTTATGTTAAACCCGACGTACAGTGGCAGTGGAAAAAAAATCAGCTAGTAGTGAGAGAGAAAACTATAGAAGAATAGCCTTTAGGAATTATCGAAATGTGGTTTCTCCAAGATTGACAGTGTGAGCAGAGTTAAATTATTAAGATTGTGTATGATAGTTGTGAATACATTAGCTTTCTGTTATGTGAATAATTTAGTTTTTCCTAGTAAAAAGAGATTTCTTAGAAGTATGTTGGAAGATGAGTCGTCATTGACGTAGAGTGCAAAGAATTGCAGAAAATAAGGAAAGTTATTTGGATCCCAACCAAAAAAAAAAGAAAGAATCCCCAAGTATAAGACCTTTGGTCTAAGGGGTGATGTGAAAACCATTAATAAGTCCAGATGGACATTTGGAACTCGAATAGTTAGCATGGGATATGAAAAATAAAATCAGTTCGGTAATGAGGAAAAATTATATAATTACCACAAGGATTATGTCTAGCATGTATAAGGAATACAAAGTGAGTAGAATGATCACCGAGCATAGTTATTAATGATAAAGTGATCACAGAAAAGCTATAAAATCATGCCTATTTATGTGTTATGAGGGTAGTGCCATTGCACGGGACTCTAAAATTTAGAGTACATGTCAAAGACTTAGTTCACAATAATACTATAATTGTTTTTTAGGAAGTGCTTAAGAAGATAAAGTGTGGGAAGTATAAATCATGATTGAGGTAGATAAGAGAACTCTGGTGAAAGAAGTTCACCAGCTAAGATAGGAGTTCGACTTCAGACTCCAAAGATGACGGAGTTGTTTTCTAGAACAGGACTCATTCCTCCTTAGTAGCCTAAGTGAAAGAGAAATAGATTGATGATACGTACAGGTTACAGCTTAAAGAGGGTATTCACAAGCATAAGATGATGGCTTTTGAACAAGGGGGAGATGATGGTACTTTGAGGTACCAAGATGGGTTGTGTATTCCATACATAGATGGGCTCAGAGAGCGGATTATGTCTGAAGCCTAAAATTTCAAGTATTCTATTTACTCAGGTACCATAAAGATGTATCATGGTCTTACGGAGATTATTGGTGGAACGACATGAAAAAAAAGGAACATTGCAGACTTTATGGACAAGTATCCGAATTATCAGTAAGTGAAAGTCGAGCAACAGTTAGCCCAGTGTTTTACCACAGAATACACATATTTTGAGTGGAGATGGTAAATATAGAATTTATAACAGGATTATCTTGCTCATTTTAAAAGCATGGTTTGATTGGATGATTGTAAATCGACTTACCAAGTCAGCATACTTGTTGCCAAGGAATAAAAACTACAGAATCAGTAGAAGATTATACCAAGTTGTACATTTAGAAAATCGTCTGATTGCATGGGACTTAGTTATCCGTCATTTGGGACTGTGGTGATCAGTTAAAAATGAACTTTTAGAAGTTCTTTCAGAAATGATTAGGCACAAGTTTTTCATCCTCATAAAGATGGCCAGGCAGAGCGCACTATTCAAATAGTTGAGGATATGTCCTTGATGTCAAAAGTAATCGGGTTAATCATATACCTCTCATTGACCTTGCTAATAACAACCTACCATTCTAGTATCAAGATGGCACATGCGAGACTCTATATGGGCGAAGGTGTAGATCGTCAATTGGTTGGTCCAAAGTTGGTGAAGAGGAGTTGTTAGGACCAAATTTGGTCTATCAAACTATGGAGAAAGTTAAGTTGATTACAAAATGTTTGAAGACGGCTCAGAGCTGCCAAAAGTCCTATTCGAGCGTGCGGCATAGACACCTAGAGTTTCAAGTTGATGATTGGGTGTTTCTGAAATTTTCTCCTATGAAAGGCGTTATGAGATTTGGGAAGAAGGGGAAGCATAGTCCCTGCTATATTGGACCATATAGAATCTTGCGAAGGATTGGTCAATTAGCTTATGAGTTAGAGTTGCCACAAGAATTAGCGGTGGTACAACCAGTATCTCCTGTGTCATGTTATAACATTTAAGTTTCCAGTACTCAGATACTCATATCAGTTCAGTACTCAGATACTCATATCAGTTCAGTACTTAGATACTCATGTCAGTTCAGTACTCAGATACTCATGTCAGCTCAATACTCAGCTACTCATGTCAGTCCAATACTCAAATGCTCATGCCATCTTAGTACTCAAATATTGATGTCAGTTTAGTAGTCAAATATTTGTGCCATTTCGATATTCATATACCTATGTTAGTTCAGTATTCACGTATCCATGGTAGACCAATATTCAGTCAATGCAGTAGTCATTCAGTTCACTATCTCAACAGTTCAGTAGTCATGTATTCATTCAGTTTAGTATGCAAGTGTTAATGAAAGTTCATGCTTCCACCAGACCCGTTTAAGGTCCGGAGTTAGAAAACGTTACAATCAGGACAATCATTTGAGGACGAATGATCCCAAGGGGAAGATAATGTAGCACCCTGTATATTCGGACTAGGTGTGGATATGTTAAATGGGTATTAAAATGATATTTTAGACATATGATGTCCTAGCGGAATGAGTATGGGTGAAAATAGTTATTTTGAATCAAGATGGAGAATGAGGTGCATAAGATTCGACAAAATCTAGAAAGTTTACAAAAGGTCAGTTTGGCAGAAGGTTTAGTGACAAACGTGTAAGGTACTTGGGAAAACACAAAACATGAAACTTGTAGACCATTGAAATATCTTTCCAACTATATATTATGGAGCCCGAACGGATCTTTGTACAAAATGTTATGCGCATTTTACAGAACAGTGCGCAATATGCGCGCCCCGAGCGCGGCCGCGCACCTGTGGCAGTATTACTGCCATTTTGCGTGGTTGGGTGTGCATTCAAGCCTACAGGTGTGTGGGGGCATACTTGGGAGATCATTTTAAAGCCCTACTTCGTCCCCCACAGCCCTAAAACATAAAAACTTGCTCAAGAAAGGGGAACTCTCAAAAACCTAACTCCTTAAGGGTCTCTCCACCACCCAAGGTAAGTTCTAATGGTGATTCTAAGTTAATTTCAAATTTTCAACATCTTATTAACATGGGTAAACCCTCCATATCATTAGATATTCGATTGGGACATCGTTATTGAGAGAAGGAACTATAGAACTCGAATTCAAGGGGATTGAATTTCAAAAAGGTAATGTCTTCACCCTCTAATTGATTCTAGCATTGGATTAATGATTTTAGACTCTAGTTCATGAGATATGAGTTGATGGGTTTGACAGAAAAGCATGAAAGACTATAGGTTTGGAGTGTTGCTTGTTGATTATTGGTTAAGGGTGTTGTTTACCTTATGGGTGATAAAGAATGATGTTGATTATAACCATTTGAGACTTTAGAATTTATCTAGAAGCAAGAGAATCGGTTATTGGGTATAGAGACAACATTAATAAGAACTATGAAGCTTTATTCTCATCAAGTGTTTGATAAAATGCTTAAGTGACCAAAATACGAGTATCATTGCTAATATGGAATCCCTTTGACTTGTATTGCTATAGATTAAAGTTGAAAGGGTTGACAAATGTTGTATTACGCTCAAGGACAGGAAGTTAAGGTATGTGAGGCTAACTCTCTATGTTTGGGAATATTAATGATTCTCCATACACTATGTTTCTTTTACAACGTTACTAATTGCCTCAAAAATATAGTTTAGCATAGTTCCTTGAATAGTTGTAGAACTTCTATTCTCTAGCTTCATAACTCGTTCATGACTTTCATTCTGAACGTTGTGAGCTCAGTGCGTATTCAATATAGACTTGGGTTTGATGCCCTCGAGTCTTAATATAGATTACTCACTATGCCATAAACAGTTGAAGTTTCAATGTTCATAATCAGTTCAAGAATACATGTCTCAGCCTAGTCCTATTCAGTATTCCAGTATTATATAAGTCAGTGTGATCCAATACTCCAGTATCATATAACTCAGTATGATTCAGTATTTCACTATAATATATTACAGTATGATTCTCTGTTCTTAATTTTAAATCCCTGAATGTTGAACACCTGTATTTGGGCCTGAGGTCTCAGTTAATGCTTTATGCATATTTGGGCCTGAGGCCACAGTTAATGTTTTATGCATATTTGGGCCTGAGGCCGCAGTTTATGCTTTATGCATCTTTGGGCCTGAGGCCGCAGTTATGTATACGTATACTTGGGCCCGAGGCCGCAGTTGTGCACATATATATATTAGGCCTGAGGCCGCAGTTTATTTATTCAGATAATCAGGTTATTCATCATTCAAAAGAGAGAGTATTCATATCCTTACTTCCTTTGTTCAGTTCAGTTATCAGTTATCAGTTCAGTTATTAGTTATCAGTTATCATTTCAATTTCAGTTTCAATAGTGATCATTTCATTTATCATTTCAATAGTTGACTTTGAGACGTGATCGATCAAATTCGACCCCATACAAAACTTTTCATTTTATTCTTAACGGATGCTTTATAACTATATAAATTTCAATGGTTGTTTTAAAACACTTCCAATTAAACAACATTACAAAAGTTGGGACGGAGAGTACTAGTAAATATAATAGAATGCTACATTTACCGACTTAATGCGTCTCTGAATGTAGAATAGCGTCTCTCAATATAAAATAGTACCGCACTCACAATTCTTTTGTGATCATGAGCGAACTCTTGCTCAACGAAATGCGAGCTTAGTATAAAAGAAGCTTTTAAAAAATTTATCTTATGTGTGTGTTAGTCTACATGTGTGTGTTAGAGTGGAGGGAATGGGTGCCACAAAGGTGAATTCCCAGAGAGAGAGAGAATCATTAACTGTGTGTTGAGTGGAGTGGGTACGACAAATTAAAGTTCCCTCAAGCAGGTACCATGTGTAAAATTGCCCAAAAATATCCCCATTGTCCGCCAATTTGAAGCAAACACAATATCGGCGCACTATCTACTAAACGTGAAGCACCAAATTAAAGAAGTGTCATGAAACAGTCTTTTTTTTTTCGTAACCGTGATATACAGGACAGAGTTGGATATATAAATGAGAAGAAATTATGATCTTGTCTTCGTTAGAATTTGTACTCAAACATCATAATTTTTAACTTACTTTATTACAATTACTAGGCCAAACCCTTAAATACTCATGAAACAGTCTAATTTCCATGGAATAACCTCATTTTTTACGGACTATTCTAATCAAAATTAAATTAAACAAAGAGACAAACAACTAAGCATGTTGATGGCCGTGGACAGTGACGGGTGGAGGAGTGAATGAAACAATATATAAATAAAAATAAAACAAAAAGAGAAGATCTCTCGAATGAAGCGTGTCTGAGTTTGACAGTGCAGCACTTGAAGTGCGTTCGAATCGCATCTCTTTAATCTATGCATGAACCTCAGATTCCGCACGTAACTGTACTTCCTCCTTTCAAATTTATGCGGCGTTAATTTATTGGACATGAAATTTAAAAGAGAGACGAATGTTTTTTAAACTTGTTATTTTAAATATTTGTATTAGTATTTGCGTAAATGCATGGATAATGACCATGTCAAATCATGATCTAAATTATTTGGATTGTGTGTAAATAATTTTAAAAATTAAACCTTCTAGATAAATATAAATAATTATTGAAAATTAATAAAGAAACGGTACACACAAAAAGACTTACAATTTCTTCCATATTCTTCTTTTGGCTTTATCGATTTAATCTAAATAGGTGTTCACCAAACATGTTAAATTAAAAAAAATTATAGGATGTATAATTTATATTTAATCCATGTGTAATATATATAATCATGTGTAATTAGGCTATCATCAATATATATCAGCTATAAAGGATAAAATATATTTTATGTATAGATTTCCTAAGTTTCAGTGATCTGATTTGGTCTATGATATGACTTCTCTTATAATAATTCAAAAAAAAATTACTAAAATTCAGAAACGTCTTATCCTTTTTATTTTTAAAATGGCACTATATTTTTAGAAATATCTCATTTCGATATAACTTTTTTGATATTTTGAAAAAAATATTTCATGTAATACCATATTTAAAAATATACTTTTTGTTTAACTTGGAAATTGATTAAGAACATAATCATTTAGAAACCAATATTTCTCACGTTGAAATCAAGAAGAAAAACCTTTCATATAATCTAGTGACTCAAAATTAACATTCTTCGGTGAAAACAAATTATATTGTTCAAAAATGAATATGATTCTAATATTATTTATATTGTATCTATAACGATCCGGCCAGTCGTTTTGTGTAGTTTATCCCAGTAACCCCTATTTGAAATAAGTTCCACATAACCCATCACCGTTAATGGGCTAATTTGGAGATTAACTGTGTGCCCCACATTATCCTGTGTATTATGCGTCTTCAAAGCTACGGGTAAAGACCGTAAACCCCGTAGACGAGCAAAGGCACTAAGCCAGGCCCCCACGCCACACTCCGCCATCTCCATAGTCCCGCCAAACCATTGGCTATGATACTAGTTGTTGGGCTAAAAGGCCCAAAGATACTTTTAACATGGTGTGATATTGTCCGCTTTGGGCCAAGCCGCACGCTTTTTTCCAAAAGGCCTCACGCCATTAAGAGTATCCAACTCCTTATAAGTAACTTATTTTTCTTTTCTACTTTTCATGTGGGACTTTGTTCACACTCCAACAATATATACGGATAGGGTAAAGCTTGGATGAAAATATCCAAGCCCAAACAAACCGAGAAAGGAGTTCTTGTCGGACAGAGGCTGCAGGCATGCCACTCTCTCTATCACGGCTGGTATGGCGTAAAAATGGCGTGTAGTATCCACTAATTAAGGGTGTCTTTAATTTTTATCCACTAATTATAATGCTCAGCAAAAATAGCACTACTAATAGGGAAAAGACTGTTTTACCCTTCCTTCATATGCCAAAAGGCCTAAAACCCTTATTTTTTCATTCAGAAGAGGGAAATTTGAGAGAGGGGAAGTTCGCGTGTTCTCTGCTGCTGTATGATCCTCGCATGCAAACGAGCTTTAGTTAATCTTTCTCCTTCTTCATCTTCTCTGTCATCTTCTCTGAATCGATCGATCTAATTGGTAATTTATTCTTTTTTTTATGCATTTTTGTTTCAAAAATCGATCGATCTATATGTGTAATGGCGTTCAATGCCCTGTCAAGTATGTGTGAAATTTCAAAAATGATCATTATAAGTTGATTCAGTGTCGGAGAAGTAGCGTATTTTTGTGATGCTGTTATTCAGAAATTTTTGATATTGAAATGTGTAATGTGTTTGTGGTTGATTCAATATATTTGATTATGTAAGGACATTTCATAAAAATAGTCGTAGAAAATCATAAGCTTACTGTGTTTCTGAATTTTTAGTTAACTGTGTTCATGAAAGATAAGGATCAAACGACATTAACTTTTGAAGTTAACTCAAAGTTAAGGACTGAGTGTCCTTAACTTTTGAACTTGAAACATGAAGTTAAGGACTAAGTGTCCTTAACTTTGGAATTTGAAAGTTGAAGTTCAGGACCAAGTGTCCTTAACTTTTCAACTTGAAATTATAAGTTAAGGACTGCCTGTCGTTAACTTTTTAACTTGAAACTTGAAGTTAAGGACCTAGTGTCCTTACCTTTTGAACTTGAAACTATAAGTTAAGGCCTGCCTAGTCCTACCTCTTTAACTTGTAAATCTAAGTTAAGGACTAAGTGTCCTTTACTTTTGAACTTGGAATTCAAAGTTAAGGACTACATGTCCTTAACTTTTAAACTTGAAATTTGAAGTTAAGGACCAAGTGTCCTTAACTTTTGAACTACAAATTTGAAGTTCAGGACCTATTGTCCTTTACTTTTCAACTTTAAACTTTAAGTTAAGGACTGCTTGTCCTTAACTTTTTTACGTGAAACTTGAAGTTAAGGACCAAGTCCCTCCAACTAACTATAAGTCCTAATCTTTATTTTCTTTTTCCTTCTTTGTAGTGTGATAATGGAAGGAGATCGTATGTTCAATTTGATGATTGGCGTAATTTTATGGTGTATTGGAAAAGAGATTTACAGTATAAGGAAACAATTAAAAAAAATTTGTCAAACAGTCAGTGGAAGAAGTTGAGGGATGGTATTTTCGGCAACTTCTTCCGATTACAAAGTGTGAAGTTCTGTGGTAAACTTATTCACTGTATATTGCTTTCAGAAATTGTGAATAATGACCCTGATTCGATGACATTCAAGGTATTTGACCGTGAAATTAAGTTTACACGTGACGCATTTCATGTAATTACTGGTTTGAAGTGTTATTCCTCGCTGGACATCAAAGGTTTACATGAGAAAGAGAATAGGCTTTCGAAAGTCTATTTCACCGGAAAGGATAGAATTGAGTTGGGTGATTTGTTTAGTTTTATTTCTAGTCACCCACATGGTACATCTTCGTCATTTGTAGGCAGCAATGATGATGCTGTGAAGTTGGCAACAGTTTATTTTGTTGAATCAGTTTTGATGGGCAAGCGGAAGAATAGGAATGTGTCCGAGCAGATAATGAAAATTATCGACGATGATGTACTCTGCTCTTCTTTCAACTGGGGCTCTCTTTCTAATGACACGCTATTAAAATCATTGAAGAGTTGTTTGAAGCCGAATGAGAATGAGATTGAGAAAGAGAAAGACAAAGATAAAGACAAGGATAGCTACACTAGACTTGGCTTTCCTTTTGCCTTTTGTGTTTGGATTATGGAAGTAATTCCTATTTTCCAGGAAAAATAATTTGTGAACTTCCAAGAATCTGGTTATCCTCGGATGTTATGTTATTCGGAAATGAAATCTCCACAGTTTGATTCTCTTTGTAAATACTTCCATAATGAAAATGTAAGTTAATGTAATTACTAGCTATTTTTTTGTTTATTTGTTTTAGTTCTGAAAACTTATGTTTACTTTTTGTCATATAATAGTTGTATAAGTTGATCGAGGTGTCACCATTTATTCCTGTTGAAGAAGAAGATACAGAGCCTCTTAGTGTGGAGGAGCCAATTTCACAATATCAAAGCTCAAGGCCTTCTTCCACACAATTTGATGAACCCATACTTAAGGAATTTGTTAGAGTATGTCTTTCTGCCTTTGAATAGCATTAGTTTTTTATTTGATTATTTTTTGCTTACGACACTTTTTTTTTATGTTTTTTGATTCAGAGATTATCAGAGAGTTTTAAGAAGGATCTGCAAGCTGAAGTTACCAGAATAAATCAGAAAATAGATGTAGCAGAAAAAAAGATTGAGAATGAAATCATGGTAATATGATTAATTTCAGTTAGTCCAAGTTCAGGACTTTGTGTCCTTAAGTTTTGAACTTAAAACTATAAGTTAAGGACTTCCTGTCCTTAACTTTTGAACTTGGAATTCAAAGTTAAGGACTG